AAAGGAGTGGTTCTCAACAATTATGGGGCATCTGTATTATTTGAGGGTGGGGGGGGAGTATAAGAGCTAGTTTAAAGATCAGATTCTTGGGCACCAACCCAAACTTCCTAAACCTTATTCTCTGGGTCATAGCAGCTAGGATTCTTCATAAAACATATACTTCAGGTGATTCTAATGAAGATGGTCTACAGACCACATTTTGATTAACATGATTAAAAGCCAAGAAACATGAATTCAGTCAACATCTTGCTCCACTTGCCTGAGTAAAAGATCTTTATTAATATCAGTCTTTTCTCTCCTCTATGAGAAAGCCATACTTTTGGAGGGTACTCCTTCCACTTGAATCCCCTGTCATCCTCTCTGCTTTTATCAATTATCTTTTTGTTTTCTAGCTTCAATGTCTTTCTTTCCTTTGGGTCAATCTTCTCGGCAGAGTAATAAACTCAATTGTCTTCCATATTGAAAACCAAGACAAAACTCTTGTCATGGTTCCTTTCCTGTTCTAGCCACTACCTTATCCTTTTTTTTTTCTTTTCATGACCAAAATCCTCCTTTCTACACTCAGTGTCTCACCTTCTTCACCCCCAATCATTTCCCAACTATTGCACCTGGAGTCTGTTCCCACCATTCCAGCAAAATAATTTCTTGTGCAAGTTACCAATAATTCCTTAATGCCAATTTCATTAGATGCTTTTCAGTTATTTTGTCTTTCTGTTGTATTTGATGCTTTTGGCCTCTTCCATCTTAAAACTATAGCTGACCCTTGAACAATGCAGGGATTAGGGGAACCTACCTACCAGTTGAAAATTTATATGACTTGACTCCACAAAAACTTAACTACTAATGGCCTACTGTTGATCAGAAGTCTTACTGATAACCTAGTCAATTAACATATATTTTGGGGACACCTGGGTTTCTCAGTTGGCTGAGTGTCCTGGGATCGAGTACCATATCAGGCTCCTTGCTCAGCTGGGAGACTGCTTCTCCCTTGCCTGCTTTGCCTGCCACTCCCCCTGCTTGTGCTCTCTCTTTGACAAATAAATTAATAAAATCTTAAAAAATTAACACATATTTTGTATGTTCTGTGTATCATGTATTGTGTTCTTACACTGAAGTAAGGCAAAGCATAGAAAGTGTTATCAAGGGATGCCCGGGTAACTCAGTTGTTTATGGGTCTGCCTTCAGCTCAGGTCATGATCTCAGCCTCCTGGGATGGCCTGCATCAGGCTCCCTGCTCAGCAGGAAGTCTGCTTCCCTCTCTGCCTGCTGTTCCCCCTGCTTGTGCTCACTCTCTATCTGTCTCTCTCAATCTAACAAATAAACAAAATCTTTAAAAAAAAAGTGTTATCAAGAAAATTTAAAGAAAAGAATATACTTTTATAGTACTGTACTGTATTTACCCCCCCAAAACCTGTGTATAAATGGATCTGTGCCATTCAGACCTGGTTGTTTCAGAGTCAACTGTATTTGATTTTCCCTACTCTATATTACCACTTTGTATTCTCTTCCTATCTCTCTAGTAGTTTCTTCTCAGTCTTTGCTCTCCTCTTCCTCTTTTGGAATGTGCCTATTATTCAGGGTTCCATCCTTGGCCCATTTATCTTTTATACTGAGTTGTGACTTTCTCTAACACCTATGTGCTTGTTGTCACCAACCTACACCTCCCTCTTCCCTAAGTCCCAGCTCTGTGTCTACAACTGCTACCTGAACATCCTTAACTGGATATTTTTAGGCAACTGAAACTCAATATGTTAAGAATTGAACTGATGACCTTTCCCTAAAGACCTGCATGTTTCTACTTCTGTATTTCCTTGATCAGCTCAGCTGCCCAAATGAAAATGAGGGATTTATCTTCCTCTTTCCTTCTATCTCTCCTTCCTACACCCAGTCACCAGGTCCTATCGATGTGATCTCCAGGTACCTTTTGCATCTGTCCTCTCCTATCTCCACGCCACTATCTGCATCCCATCATTCATCATCTGAAATACTGTTGTTAGTTTCTTATTGATTTCCTTTTCTCTACCAGGTCCTCCAGGTCCTCTCTTGTGTTTTGGTTCCTAAGGAGAATGGGTGAAAAGATGTAGAACTGTATCAGTGTAACTCAAGGATACAGCCATTTGTGTAAAGGATGGTGTAGTTGAAGGAGAACTCCAATTTATTCTCTGGAGGGCTCAGAGTCAGGAGACATCAGGTTTGTCTTTCAGACTGTCAACTTTGAATGTGGAAGTTGCTGAAAAGATTTACACATTTCAGCTATTAAATTAAGAGCAGTAGCTAAGATTTGAGAAAAACACACTAGAGATCATTGTTTTCCTTTCCTCTCCTTTTCTTTCCCTTTTTTTTTGAATTTTATTTATGTATTTACTTGAGAGAGAGAGAGAGAGAGAGAGAGGGAGAGGGAGAGGAAGAGGGAGAAGCATGCTCTCTGCTCAGCCAAGCCATGGACTTGATTCAGGACCCTGGGATTGTGAGCTGAGCTGAAGGCAGATACTTAACTGACCCACCCACATGCCCCTTTCTTTCTTTTTTAAAATTGTTTTTTCTTAACTATCATATGATCTCCCTGATATGAGGAAGTGGAGATGCAACATGGGAGGTTTGGGGGGTAGGAAAAGAATAAATGAAACAAGATGGGATCGGGAGGGAGACAAACCATAAGAGACTCGTAATTTCACAAAACAAACTGAGGGTTGGGGGCGGATAGGAAGAGGGTAGTGGGGTTATAGACAATGGGGAGGGTATGTGTTATGGTGCGTGCTGTGAAGTCTGTAAACCTGGTGATTCACAGACCTGTACCCCTGGGGCTAATAATACATTAAATGTTTATAAAAAATAAAAAATTATAAAAAAAGAAATAAATCGTTTTTTCTTAAGTGGCAGAAGAGCATAGGGAGTCAAAAGTAACAGTAGGAAGATAAGGGAGATCATATAGAAAAATCATTTTGTAGTTAATAAAGGTTGTCCAAAAACACTAATCTTAGTGGTAGGGTAAAGGTTAGTGGTAGGGTAAAGGATGCTGAAGAACCAGAAAATTAATCTTGTTCTATTGTAATGGGCATAAGCTATCCATTTCTGTAGTCTGCGGCTTCAGGATAATTCCTAAGAATCTTTGGTTTGAGATCTTCCAGTGAATTAGACATTCAGTGTCCCAGAAAAAAATGATGCATTCATTTTTAGTTGAGTAACATGAATCCAAGGATCAATGCCTTTGGAGTTTCACTGTTGGTTTGTTGTTAATAGTGCCTGATTAGGATTTTCCATTGAGGATCAAGAGAAATTTTTTCTGATTTTTTTTCAGAAGATCAAATCTCTAGATTTCAGATCATGCAGAAGCTGCTTAGATGGGTGTTTTGTAAATATTTTGTTGCTTTATTGTTGTAACAAGAGTTACAGCGTGGGTCCTCTGCAGTAATTAGTCATATCAGTTTGTATTAAGGTAGGATCTAGTACTGCAAATACACAAGGAAGCCTGTTATTAACTCAGAGAGATAACTTGTGGGTCTTATGATAGATTGATGTCATCATTATCAAGACAAATGGAACTACTTTGGGCCTTGGGAATTTGAGAGTTTCTGAGAATTTTGCTAATGAGTTTTAGAATTCCATTAGTTCCCTTTAATTTTCCTGAAATTTGTGAATGATAAGGAGAGTGGAGTTTCTAAGTAAATGGTAAAGGTTTACAGAATTATTTAATAACAGTGTCACTGAAATGTGTGTACCTGTTACTGGAGAAGTGCATTGGGATTTCTCAAGTCAGGAACACAAAAATCAAGAAATTTTTTTCTATCATTATATCCATAGTTCTCCAGCAAGGAAAGGCCTCAACCATCATAAGAAGAGTTATATTTGAATATATTCATAGTCCATTTAGAGGTTTTCTTAGGAGCCCTGAGGCTTTGGGCTCCAGTCTGTATTCTATGTTTATAGTTTTGCCAGAATTATGTCATTGGCAGATAGGACATACATCCTTGGCAACAACCCTAAAAATTACCCCAGCGGTGCTGGTTCGATATCATTACCAATTTATCTTTGCTATTACGGATAGATACCATGAAGAATTTCACTGGCCTCTAATTATGGCTATCTCCCTAGGTAATAGCAAAGCATCTCAAGATTCTTTAATTTGCTGTGTATTTTACAGGAGTTCCTGAAACAGTCAGGAAATCTGTTTCTAAAGACTTTCAAAGTCACTGACTAACCTAAAATGTATATGTACCATCATTACAGATACTTGTTCTTTTTCCTTTATAGCTGATAGCTCTGGGCCAGGGCAATTAACTGGACCTACAAAAGACTTGGGATGGCAGTAATTCAGAGACTTTGGGCGAGTTATTTTTCTGAGCATTATATTTCTTCAAATACGAAATGGTAATAATACTCATCTCAGAGAACTGTGAGCATTTAATGAGTTTATCAATGAATAATACCTACCACCAAGTCCTTCACGTTGGTTATCTGCTTTAATTATCGCAACCATTCTGTGATGGCGTCATCATTTAAGAGAGGCTCGGTCACGCCGCTTTAAGGGCAATGTCAGGCTTGAAACTTCTATTTTTTTCTGATACACGCGTCCGGTTCTTAACCCTTCTACTGTCCCAGACATCTTTCACTGCTAGGTTCAAGAGCCCATTATTAAGGCCTGTCGCCCAGCAGGCACTCAATCTTTAAAAATTTAGTGTGCAAGTTTGATCATCATGGGTTTGTACTAGGGTCTGATCTCCTCTCGGTGCATGGACAAAATTCAGTCTTGGCTTGGCGCAGTCGAGGACTAAATTCTCCCCTCCCTCGAGAGGAACCCAGTCGGGGTTTATTGTGAGCTTTCAGCACCGTGAGCAAGATCCCAGCGGGTGACGAGGACGACGCCCCTCCCCCGCCGGCCCCCGCCACACCTCTGCTCCCTCACCCGCCCTCTCCCGCGGGGCGTCCTTAGCAACGCGCGCTTTCTCTCCCTGCCCCGCCCAGTCCGCGCGGCGCCGGGCGGGGCGCGAGGCCTTGGTGGTCTTTGCGCCTGCGCGCAGCCGCAACCGCCAGTCAGCTCTCCTCCCCTCCCCTCCCTCCCCTTTCCCCTCTCCCCCCTCCTCCTCTGCCTCCTAGAGCGAGACACCAATATGGAGCCTGAAGACCTACCATGGCCGGGAGAGCTCGAGGAGGAGGAGGAGGAGGAGGAGGAGACGGAAGAGGCGGAGGAGGGGGCAAACCTGGACTCGGACGAGGTGGTGATGGTGGAGGAGGTGGAGGAAGAAGAGAGGAGGTACCTGGACTTGGACTTTAGTAACTACGAGAGCCAGCCTCCGGAGAGTACCGACGACGAGGAAGACGAGGAGGCCAAGGCCTGGCTGCAGGCGCATCCCGAAGGGCCTTTGCCTCCGTCGTCGGTCCCGAGGCACCGCTACTCGGAGGACCAGCGGACCGGCCCGGAGAAGGTAAGCTGGGTCGGGGAGAGATGGGGACTGCGGTCAGGCCGGGTGACTTGGCGTCTCTGCGCGCTCAGCCTGCTCTCTGCCTTGCTGCCTCCTGCTGGCTGCGGGTCACCGTGCGGGGCAAATAACAGGCGGGCTTGTAAAGTCTTGTAGGGGCCGTATCGCGTCCTGGGTCTCCACTCCTGCGCAGGCTCTGGCTGACTACCTCAAGTCTCCCATTGTTTATGTCAAAGACCTCTCATGTTTCACCCTCTCTGTGGGTCCCGGGCCTTTTGAATTACACCAGCTGTTTCGAGCGTCTCTATCCCCAGTGGGTGTGGTTAAGCAACGCTTTGGGGAGGAGTTGGGGCTCCTCGTGCCCTGCTGGAGGGGAAGCGTTTGTACGAGGGGAGAGAGTAGTTCTTCTGGGGCTGTCTTGTTGGGAAGACGGGAGATTAACGTGCCTGAAGGGCAGGACTCTCTTGGAGGGAGTAGTGTGGCTTCTGGACACTACATGGTTAGTCTCCAGAGGCTCCTCACCTGTTTGACTTCTCCGGAACCTTGTTTGTAGCAATGAAGGGGAGTGCCCCGTAGGTAGGAGGTTTATGCTGCAGCTCCAGTTTGGAAAACTAGAAAGCACCAGGTAGTACACAATGGAGAAAGAGCTGGTTTTATGGTGGGCTCCTGAAGACAATTTTGAAAATAACTACATTTAATTCATTAGCTTTTCAGGGAGGAAAAAAAAAGTTTTGCTATTTAGTTTGAATATCAAATCATCAGACACTTATTAAGTTTCTTTTGTGTGCAGGGCACGTTGTGGGGACCAAAAAGCCTAGTGTTTATTGTCTAGGACTGCTCCATAGACAAGATGTAAACTGTGCAGAGTGAACAAAATACAACAAAGTACAAGTGAAAAGACAGTGAAAGACTTTTAATAGACCTGTGCTGTTCAACACAGTCATCACTATCCACATGTGGCTCTTGACATCGCATTTCGTTAAGATTAAATAAAATTTAAAAATTCAGTGCCTTTGTTGTACTAACCACGTTTTAAGTGTCCAGTAGCCACACTTGACCAGTGGCATTATTGGACAGTGCAAATATAGAATAGTTCCATCATCACAGGAAGTTCTTTTGGACCTTAATCCTATAGACGGTTGATCATTAAAGAGTAATAGTTATTGTTTTTCTTGGTAAGTATTCCACTGGGTGCTTAATTCATTGAGCATTCACCATGGGCATTCACAGTGTCCTGCTGGATGCAAAGGAATCTTGGTGAACCGAAACATTTTTTTTTTAAATCTCTGCCCTTCTAGTGTTCAGGTAAGAAAAAGCAGACAAAATTTAGTTGGCCACATAAATAAGTAAAACTGGTATGTGCTAATATACTTTGAAAGCATGCTGTAAGGGGATCTGACCTTGTTAGTGAAGCTGGGGAGAGCTTCCCTGAGGAAGTTCTGATAGAGCTAAGATCTGAAGACAAAAATTAACTAGACACAGAGAAGAGTTTCCCTCCCAGTTGAAGGAAAGTCACATGTAGAGGTGCTGTTGGAGAGAACATGGCATTTCCAGGGAACCAAAGGCTAATACGGATAAAGGCTTTATCTGTGGAGCTTTGGAATTGTTTAAATGGAATTGTTAAATTTGGAAAATGTTTAAAACATTTTCAGTGGTAAGATTTGTGTTTCAGAGGGGCACCTGGGTGGCTCATTCATTAAGTGTCTGCCTCAGGTCATTATTCCAGGGTCATGGGATCAAGCCCCACATTAGGCTCCCTGCTCAGCGGAAAGCCTGCTTCTCCCTCTCCCACTCCCCCTGCTTGTATTCCCTCTCTCACTGTTTCTCTGTGTCAAATAAATAAGTAAAATCTTAAAAAAAAAAAAAAGATTTGTGTTTCAGAAAGATGACTTTGTAGCAGAGTAGAGGACAGCTTTGACAGCAGGATGGAGTCAGAACTGGCAGTAATTCAAGGATGCTAATTATTAAGCCATTGCCGCATTGCCGGGCGAAAGATGATAATATTTTCGAACAGTAAAATGTTAGTGGATATAGGAAAAAGTAGACTGATTGAAGACATATTTAGGAGGTAGGGGTGCCTGGGTGGCTCAGTCACTTAAGCGTCTGCCTTTGGTCCAGGTCATGATCTCTAGGTTCTGGGATTGAGCCCCGTGTGTGTGTTTGGGGTGGGGGCGGGGAATCCTTGCTGAGCAGGGAGTCTGCTTCTCTCTTTCTTCCCACCTCTGCCCCTCCTCCCTGCTCCTTCTCGTTCTTTAAAAAAAAAAAAGAAAGAAAAATATTTTTTTCTATAAACATTTTTTATAACGTTTCTATAAACATTTTTTATAACATTTCTATAAACATTTTATAACATTTCTATAAACATTTTTACTGTACTGATAATGGATTAGGTAGAGTCTGGGTGTTAGATTATTGGATGAATGATTGTGTCAAGCATCGAGATACGGCCAGGTTCATGGTGGGAACAGTGGAGGGAGGGGTTGATGGGTTTGGCTGAGATGAGTGTTAAGATTCTAAGATTGGTTTTGGAGATCAGAGCAGAAGTCTGAATTGGAAATTCCAAGTTGTAAGTTATCTGCATATAGACCATAATATATGGGACTCCATCTCAGGACTGTGGGATCATGACCTCAGCCGAAGGCAGACACTTAACCAACTGAGCCACCCAGGCATCCCTGCCTTTTTTTTTTTTTTTTTTAAAGATTTTATTTATTTATTTGAGAGAGGGAGAGCACGCCAGCGGGGTGGAGGGAGGGGCAGAAGGAGAGGGAGAAGCAGACTCCCCGCTGAGCAGAGAGCCAGTTGCAGGACCCCATCCCAGGACCGAAGGCAGATGCTCAACCAACTGAGGGACCCAGGTGCTGCATAATTATCTGACTTTTTGATTGTAGCCATCCTGGTGGATGTGACATGGTATCTCACTGTGGTTTTGCTGTGCATTTCTCTGATGGCTTATGATATTGACCATCTTTTCTTGTGCTTATTGGCTATTTGTATATCTTCTTTGGTGAAACGTCTATTCAGGTCCTTTACTCATCTTTATTTCAGTCATTTGTCTATTTGCTGTTGAGTTACAAGAATTCTTTATAAAGTCTTCATATTTTCCACAGTGTAAATTAAAAATTCCCACATAAGGTGTCTGATTTGCAATATTTTCTCCCAGTCTGTAGGTTGTCTTTCACATACTTGATAGTGTTCTTTGAAGCACAGAAGTTTTTATTTTTGATGAAGTCTGATTTATCTTTTTGTTGTTGTTGCTTATCCTATCTTAGAAACTGTTGCTGAATGAGAAGTCATATTTATCTCTATGTTTTCTCTTACGAGTTTTATAGCTTTTGGTCTTACATTTTAGATCTTTAATTACTTTTGAGTTATTTTTGTACATTGCTACTTTTTTTTGTATGTTGTATGTATGTATGTACGCTACTTTTTTTGTATGTTGCTACTCAGTTGTCTCAGCACCAATCTGTTTTTTCCAGTTGAATGGTCTTAGCACTCTTGTTGAAGGTCAGTTGACCATTGATGTATGGGTTTATTTCTGGACTCTCAATTCTATTCCATTATCCATCTGTCCAGCTTTATGTCATGGTCCACTTTTTTGATTACCATTGCTTTGTGTAGTAAGTTTTGAAATGAGGATGTGTGAGTCCTCCAGCTATGTTCTTCTTTCTCAAAATTTTTTGGCTATTCTAGTTGCCTTGCTGTTCTCTATGAATCTTAGGATCAGTTTGACAATTTCAACAAAGAAGCCAGCTGATATTTTGATAGGAATTACATTGAATCTATAGATCAGTTTGGGAGTATTGCCATCTTGGCAACACTGGGTTTTCTGATCCATGAACATAGGATATATTTCCATTTATTTAGATCTTTCCAGACACATTCATTACTGTTTTGTACTTTACAAGGTATAAGTTTGACACTTATTTTCCCTTAAATTATTCTAAGTTTTTTATTCTTTTTGGTGCTATTGTAAGTAGAATTTATTTTTTAATTTCATTTTTGGATTGTTCATTGCAAGTGTATAAAAGGACAATTGGTTTTTGTACATTCATTTTGTCTCCTGCAATTTTGCTGAACTCGTTTATTAGTCCTAATAGATTGTTAGTGGAGTTTGTAGAATTTTCTGTATATAAGACCATGTCAAATGTGGATACATATAGTTTGATTCTTCTTTTCCAATTTGAGTGCTTTTTATTTTTTTCTTGTCTAATTTCCTTGGATAGAATTTCAAGTATAATGTTGAATAGATTTAGTAAAAATGGATATCCTTATCTTATTCCTGACCTTAGGGGGAAAGCATCCAATTTTTTCACTGAAAGTAGGATGTTAGTTGTTGGTTTTTCATAGCTTACCTTATCAGATTGATGAAATTTCTATCCCTAGTTGATGGAATATTTATCATGAAAAGGTGTTAGATTGTCAAATTATTTTATTATTTGGCGTATTAGATTGTTAAGCCAAGCATGCATTATGGGGATGCATGCTTTACTTCATCATGGTACATAAATGTATGTTAAAGGGTACAGGAATATGTACACACACACACACACACACAATTTACTAGTATTTCTTAAATGAATTTTTGCATCTGTAGTCCCAAGGTAATAGTCTGTAGTTTTTTGTAATGTTTTGGTCTGGCTTAGTATCCAGGTAATACTGGCTTCATAAAATGAGTTAAAAGTGTCCTTTCTGTTTGCTAAGGATTGGCACTAATAATTTTTAACTGTTAGCTAGATTACACCATTTAGGTCTGGGCTTTTCTTTTGGGGAAGTATTTTAATTACTAATTGACTCTCTTTCCTTGCTATATGTCTCTTCAGATTTTCTATTTCTTCTTGGATCAATTTCAGTAATTTGTGTTTTCTAGGTGTTTGTCCATTTCTTCCAAGTTATCTAATTTTGTAACATGTAGTTTTTCATTGTATCTCCCTATAATTATTTGTATTTCTGTAAGATTGGTAATGAAGTTGCCTCTTTAATTTCTGATTTTAAGTAATGGGAGT